ACTAAGATATTCCACAGAGGACCTCAGTTGGCCCTCTTCATCACAGGGCCTGGGACAAATGTTCTCTGTTGCCCCCCGCTGGTTTGACTATAAGATTATTTGGGTGTGAGAAGAGGTTTAACTTTAATCTAAACCCTGTCTGGCCCTGTTCTTCTGCTCGCTCCCATTACATAACAAACGTTTAGCCTGACAGATGTATGTGCCATTTTGATAACCCCCAATGCTGGGCGCAATGCCCATCAACCTTCTTTGGTTGGCATAGATAAGAGGGAAGGGCATTAGACTGTGGCAAGGTGACAGTGTCACTGGAAAGAATGTCAAGGCTGAGTTTTTCATGAGTTATTGAGACATGAGACATCAGCCATAGTCAATGACCCTCCGGCTCCAGCAGATTACTGTGTTCTGTGCACTGGCTGGAAACAAACTCTTCACCATCAACATTGTCGTCATTATTTCATGATCGCTTTCTCTTTTTCTCCTTTTATGTCTAAGTGACCTTTTCTCCAAATACATCATTATTGATGGTCTTTCTGGCACTTCCTCATTGCATTGGTGCTCTTTTGTAAATCATTCACGCAGAACATGAACTAACCAATCTTGCATGCAAATAATACGCAGATTTACAGATGCAAAAAGGCCCTTTTTTTATCAGCAGCACTCAATGTGGTCCAATAAAGTGCACATATTGCACATATACTGTAAATGTTTAACTATTTGAGTCTGAACTACTTTTTGAGTTTGAATTATTTTACATTATATATATATAAGACATTTTTAATCAAAGACATTTGTGACCTAAACCCTGTTTTCAAAAACTCTCCAGTGCAAAAGTTCAAATATATAGTGGCTTACATTTACATACAGTATGTAAGTTCATTCTGTGTGTTTCACAAATAATAGTCTTCCTCTTCTATGTCTCCGTTCCCCTCCTCAAAGCCTAAAGCCTCAATGTTGTGTGTGATGTCATCAATTCTGCGGTTAAAATCCTGGGAACCGGAGGGGAGAGTCCAGCCGTCATAGCCACGGACTGCTGTGGCAGATGTGCTGCTCATGCTCCGCTTGATCCGGCCAAAACTGTCCGTCAAAATCCCACCCTCTCGGATCCCAATGTCTTCCAGAAACGTCTCAAACACTCCTACATCCTTATCTGGAATAAAGGGCCTCATGCCTGCTCACATGGGAGAGGAAATACGTGAGAATGCACCATAAGTCTGTATTTTTAGATGACATGAATTTGTTGGATTATAATTGAGAATACTTTAAAAGTATTGTTCATCACATTAACAAGCAAACACTTTGACAACTTACAATAAATACATTTTAAAGAATACATTTTATAAAACAAAAAGCAAAAAAATCTACCATTCAAACATTTAAAAAAAAAATCATACTTTTATCCAGCACGGACGCATTAAATTAATTAAAAATGACAGCAAAGACATTTAAACTGCTTTTTCCTGTGAGAATGGGGCAGCATTCACATGTTTGTGATGCATTGTCTCTATTCAGCACTGCAGCTCTTCTCTAAAAATTCACACTAACAATACTGAATGGTCTGAATGGTGAAAGCGCAGACAGTCTCACACTTGTCCAGAGCAGTATCGGGCTGATTCAGCCTTTTGCTTGAGTGTCAGGTTAGATGAGTCTATGGCCAGCAGAGGTATAAGTGGCTCAGTGTGTGTTATGTAATTGTGTCTCTGTTGCACACAATTGCTGCAAGTTGCCTTATCCTTTACCAACTCACTTCAGAAGTAACATCAACAAGGTCTTTCTAATCAAGTTGGACAAATTTGTGTCGCAGTGGGAATTTACTGTCCAATCCACTTTAGTTATTCAATGACTCACTAAATCTAAATATGTTTTTGTGACAAATCTGATAGCACCGATTTATTTATATTTTTGAATCGTGGTCATAGAGTTATTTATAGGCTTTATCATGTTTCTTTTCCCACAGCGGCTAGTGTTAGTAGAGAGTTTTGTAATTATGTCACGCTGTGAAAGTGTGATGTTGTTGGAAAGGCTGTTGCACCATGACTGCTCCAGTGAAAGCCAGGTGCTCATGAATATTCAATGGACTTTATGTTA